GTCCACCGTCCACATTCTAGTAGTAGTACGTCATTTAGCCTAAGATAAACTCTAGACACAACATCCGTTGTATTACCGTGACTTCCACAAGTGTCCTCATCAGGCAACTTGCATTCAGGGGTATCCATAACGTATGGATTCTTGCACAGAAACAAGAAACTGGGAAATTTCTTCTTTGGAGTCAGTGCAAAAATTTTAACATGTTTCATACAATCTGTAATTTACAATATCTGATTCTATATTCTTTCGAGAAAAAAACAGCGTTTATTTCGTTCGTTTATCACAGAAATTGCAGAAATAGGAGCAAATTTAGTAAGTCACTACAGTTTTTACAGATTTCTAATCGCGGGTATTTAAATATATTCCGTACGGCTGCCTTTACCGGAATTTAAATGCCCGTAGGATAATCGTTAAATACTGCAATCAAGGCAAATTATAAACTCATACATGTCACCATGATAACTGTTGTTACAGTTGGTTACATCAAGAGCTTAGGGTAATACAAGGTTTAAAATGATAAAGGTACATATGACATTACCTTAAGAGCATGATGATCCACCATGACAGATGATATTCTCTCAAGCAGCATTTTGACTGTGTTATAATATAAGTTTGTCATTACTGGCTGACCTAATTTCTTCAGCACGAGACTCTGAAATTAAATGGATTGGTCTGTAAATGCATTCAAAGGCAGAGTCTACAAATTTAAATTAAAAATGCATGTCAAGAAAATTCAACACATTAAATAAGAATTTCTGTTCACTTCTACCACAAAAATGCAGTAGTTTCCTATAAAATAAGGCACAATAAATCACTGTGGTCGTGGTGCAAGGGCCAAGAATGCTCACCCCTTATACATTCATTCATTCCTATAAAATGCTTGTAATCACATATGGGACACTATACAGCATTACAGCCCAAAGGCTACCCCCTCCCCCAACAAATACTTATTTCATATTATTTTACAGTTGTATGCCTAACATGCGAAACAACCAAATAGCAATAAGTACTCAAACTTTTTCAATAGCGCACACAAAGTGAAAGTACTGGAACACTACAAGAGTAGTTCTTCAGCTGAAAACTATTTATTTCCATTATAATGGTTTCCTACTTGGCCACATGATACATGTACAATTTCACATTCTTGTAATAATATGTTACAATTGTAGATGTTGCTGGTTATGTACTGAACTTCAAAGTTATCTCAAACTGTTTCCTCCCTGACACACACAACTTTTTTAAGGTTCTGGATAGTCTTGGTCCCGATTTGCAGATACCTTTGTGCATATGGACAAGTGTTAGGGCAGTGTGGATCCAATGAAACTTGTTCCAGACATTAGACACTTTAAATATAGTTTTTATTCTCTCTCTCTCCACGAGCAGAAATAGAATTTGAAAATAAAATAACTGTGGAAGTTTCTAGCAGTAAGATTATTAATTTTCTTCTAATATGTGCATGATTATATTTTTCTTTTTCACATAACCAATCATTAAATCTCTCTGAACAGCATTAATAGATGTATTCATAAATGACATATTAACACTTTGTGGACCGGTAGCATATTATTATGATTTTAGGACACATTATGTTGAAACACACTATACCTTGCACTGGCGCCAGGCAGACGCATGACTGGTGCGTGACAGACCTCTTGAATGTTTGCTTCGTAGTCAGTAACATGACCCCGCTGTTTATTACCCAACT